TACAAGGAGCAAAGATGCTTCTCCGCAGGCAGCTGAGATGGTTCTCTCTACACTGTCATGCACTATCAGCCACACTTCTCAGTATGATTTCTTAACTTCCTTATTTGCTTCAGTTCTTCACCTTGATAAGCTCCACCTTGAAGTACAGCAATATGAAGATGACAAACACAAAGAGAAAGTAGCATCCTAGCAGTGCAGGCATGTAAATCCAGCCACTCAAGAGGCAAGTTTAAGGCCAACCTGAGCAACTTAGTGAGACCCTATCTCAAAAAGCAAAAAGAGGAATGGGTATGTGGCTTCATGGTGGAGTGGAGTGCTTGTCTGACATGTGCAAGGCTATAGGTTCAATCCCCAGTACCTGACATAGCAAAGTCTAAGTAGAAATCACAGTAGTGAATCACCTGTCCCTCATATTTTTAGTATGTTCAGAAGGTTACCAGATAACCTGGCATGTGCTTGTGTCTTTACTAGTAAACACGCCAACAGAAAATAAAGCCCAAGGAAAGCCTTGAATAGGACATGCAGGTGTGGAAAGGCACTATTGCATTCACAATAATGCTTATCATTTTACAGTAAAGCTTAGCAATAACATTCACTAAGAATCTACTATGTAATAGCTAAGCATGTATGCATGTGTGTGTATGTGTGTATGCATGTGTGTCTGGTTAATATGTTGTCTCTTTTCTTGAAACTCATAATAAATTCAAAAATATACATTATGTCAATAGTCAGAAAACAATTCCCCAATTCCAGCTATCATAATAATCCCATAAGGGCTACAAAGGAGATATGTACAAAGCACTATTAAAACACAGGGGAAAGAATTAACTGTTCTTTTGGTGAGGACATCAAGGAAGGCTTTGAAGATGAGTATTAGTTGAAACTTTAGGGTTAGTTGGACTTGGATAGGTCAGTGAAGAGGTAAAGAGGTGAAGGGCAAGACACAGTTTGGAGCTGTGTCTATCGGAGCACAGAGGAGAAAACCTCCAAGCAACATAACTTCCTTTCCCTGACTGCCAGACATTTTTAACTTTGAGGGGAAGTGGAAAAAAATCTATTGAACCGATTGTGTTGGCTGTTCCGATGTGATCATAGCATTGCTTATATGGATTGTCAAGCAAGGGATGAGCTCATAAAAGGATATTAATGTGTCGTTTTTATTGAGCAAAATAGCATTACAGAAAAGGTGATTTCAAAGACACATGGCTCTTTCATTACAGCCTTCAGGGGCAATGTTTGATCACTGAAAACAGGCTGCTTTGTTCCAGCTTTCTCTGATGTTTGGCATTATCCTGAATACATATGCTCTGACTTGGAAAGAATCAATCTGTAAAGATTTAATAGATTCAAGACTTGCATATTCAAAATGCATGTCTTCTGGTTAAAATGGAATGAAACCCATTTGAATATATATGCCTATATATGCAAACATATTTCAGACACACATCTCAGCAAAAGTTTAAAAAGCAATTACACATATGTGTTTATTCTGAGATTATGGAAGTTTGCTATTTTTAAACTCATTATATTAGAACTCAGGGAAAAGGATATTTTAGGAGATATTATATGGGTGAGAAAAAGTACAGGAAACTTTCTGGTCTCTGAGATTGGCTATATACCTTAGCACTTATCACAAACATAACTTCCTAATGCTAACGATCCCTAAACAGTTTCTCAAGAATAGCAGGGGTGGGGATGTAGTTCAGTTGGCAGAGTTCTCTCCTAGCATGCTGCAAGCCCTGACTTGATGTGGTAGCAGAATCCCAACACTTAGCAAGTAGAATCAGGAGGATGTTCAAGGTCTTCCTGGGTTATGTCATTAGTAGAAGATCAGCTTTAGCTGTATGAGATCATCTTAAAAAATGAGAAAGTATAGTAGTTTTCCTGGTCAGAAAAAAAACCCCTGATATTCACAGAATGTTAAAGAGAAATTTTTCTGTGTTAGCACTTGCATGAGATTCTTATTCAAATATTAAAAGAAGTGAATTTCTTTTTTTGGAGAGAGATACTTAGAAACAGACTCATAGCTTTTCATGTAGTAATTAAAACTCATAATTTATTATTATAGGAATCTCTGGCTTCTAGTTCCTGCAAACTGATATGTAATCTTATATAAATTCATCTTTTCATCCTGAATTCCAGTTGAACTTTTGAAAGGAAAATGGTATTCCAAGTCAGTCGGCTATAAGTCACATTGAAGATTAGACTCTCACTGTACTGAAATGACACTAATAAATTTCAACCAAAATGTTTTAGATTAATTTGTCCTATTTTGCATGATAAAGAAACATCTTTCCTGTATACTTATCTATTTCAAATCATTCCCTTTCCCTGTTCCTTACTTCAGTAACATCCAAGGTTTCTGGTGTGTGTGTGTCACATTCTCCTCTGTCTGGTATGTTTTCCTACAGTCTCAAAAAATACTATTTCAGTGGTATGCTTGTGGACCAGACCAATGCTTTACAAGTGTTAATATACTTATAAATCATCTTGGGATCTTGTTAAAAAATGCAGGCTCTGATTCAGCAGGTCTGACCAAGATTCTAACAAGCTCCCAGGTGGCATCATGGACCACACTTTGGGTGGTGAATGTCTAGAGTACAAATGTCCTCTTATTAAATTTGTAATTGTTCCTGGACCCTGGTACATGGAACAAAGATTCTCTGACTTTAAAGTTGCTTCATACTGATTTTTCTTATGCTTTGTTAATTTTATAAAAACTGTATAATTTTTACTCTCTCCATCTGCCTCCCTAGCCTACTTTGAAAAAACCACTTCCCCTTTCTTACTTTACAGTTTAGACATAACAGACTAGTTGAGTTTTCCAGAATGTACCAGGTTCTTTTATATCTCAGTACATTTTCAATACTATTTCCTCTGCCCACCTTTGTATCTGTGATTCTTTTTTAAAAACCCAACTAGGCTGTTGCCTCTTCTAGGATCCCTTCCCATATCTCTTTCTCATGAATTTGCTTAATCAAATGCTTCCAAAACACCCCACAACACTTTGCATTTCATATATTACAGCTTCTTCATGATCTTTACCACTGCTCTACTTCACCATCTTTTTCAAGACAGTGTGTCTAGGGGGCAGCGATTCACATTTTACCTCCTGCCAATCACAATGCCCAATACATTCAGTTTACTAACTGAATGAAAAAGGGAGGTGGATGTATTCCAGTCATATAGATATATAATACAATAGTTTTTCTAATGAAAATTGAAAATTTCATTTTCAATTTTTGAGTTAAGAGTAACAAAAACTAAACCCATAAAATGTTCAATATAGTATGATATAATGCTAAAGATACAAAATGTTAGCATGTGACTAGATGACAAGTGAGACTCATAGCAGGTAAGTATTCTGAGTTTATTAGAGGAAAGTATCAGCATAGGTTTTAAAATTATTTTATGTCTCAATTTATGCCACAGAGGACTTGAGATTGCTAATAACTATGCATTGAAGTTAATGGAAGTAGGAAAATATAAGTAGTTAAGCGAACAGAATAAGAAAACATAAGTGGGGTATAGTGGAGTAGGAATAGATAGTAGAAAGTTGAGGACCAGACTAGCTTGTGTGCAACCTGGTGTTCACTGTAATGGGTGGTGAAGTTCATGTGCTGGGCTTTCGTTTCTATTCTGCCTAGAAGGTGGACTTCCATGGGGGCCGTGAACTGCCATGTCCTCAGGCTTCTTGTGGACCTGGCCTCAAGGGTACTCTTGGAAGAAGGATAAAGTCAGGACAATCCATTTTCTCAGGTTGCCTGGGGGTGGCTGTGCCTCTAGTAAACTGTCCCTATATTAAGCCTCCTCAGATTTCTTTATGTCCTGCTACCTGTTGAGACTCTGATCTAATCATAGAGTGTTTAGAACTACATGGGACGCCAGTCTTGGACACTTTTATGAAAACCAGTAATACCATCAAAAGTGTTATAAAATATTGATGTGTTTCAGTAATGATTCTGTGAGGGAAAGAGGGAAAATAGGGAAATAGAGAATTTTTTTTAAAGGAACATTCAGAAAACAGACAGACCTAGCATTTTGTCCTTATATGCCATTCAGGGTGGTAAAGAGCCTGAACACCATCTTGGAGTGAGAGACAAATTGCCACTGTATTTGAATGGCCTCAGTTCAGTTCTGTAATGCTATTCACACCAGCAATAATGTAATGTAATGTAATGTTCCAGAGAAGCTGCCTTGAGTTGCTCTCTTTTGACTAGGGGTAGATTGTCCACAACTATGGTTCTTCCTTCCTGCCACTCATATTTTGATGATCTTACTGCCCATTGTCCTTCCATAACGGGACAAAGAAAGAAAATAAATGGACGAAAAGCTTAGCATTAACATTAATGATGACAGGTTTGTCAAGAAGGAGGGTGAAATTCTGAACTAGAGGAAGCTTTTCTGTTTTCTTGGGCTTGTCTGCCATCTATTGCCATAAACGTATTGAGAGTTGCCTCCAGCTTGTCAAAAAGCAACAGATAAAGATTAGCAAGAAGTCTTACATTCACAATGATACAGAGAACCAGATCTAAAAAATAAATAGAACACTGTTAATATGAAGACTTGGAGTGCAGAACTTTGTGTCTTCGGGTCTTAGATTGGATTGCAGTCTTGTTTGTAGTACTTACTTAGATCGCTGTTGACTCAGATGGGCCTAATTCTGTGACTCAGCAAGGGTGGTGCATCCCAGCAGTGGGAGGTGTGCTTGTGGTTTGACCTTGGAAGGATGACCTAAAGGGGCTGGGGAAACCATAAATTCAATTTGAAATAATACAAAAATAAGATTGTTTATACTTTGCCCAGTGAATGAAGAAAAAAGTCCAATATGTTTCCAGGTATATGCTGTGCATTTTGGGATAGTCTGATTAAATTCCTGTTTTGTACATAGCAAAGGGAGGAACTTAGAAAAATATTTTATATAAGGTTTTTGACTTCTATTTTGTTCTTCACTGTTAAATTCTTTTTAAATAAGCTTGTATATTTTTCTTCTTTCTTAGGATCTATTTATGAAATGTTTGGAAATGAATGCTGCTTGTCAACAGGAGAAGTGATTAAAATCACAGGTCTCAAAATTAAGAAGATCATAGCTGAAATTTGTGAGACTATTAAAGGTTGTGAGTCTCTGCAACCCTTTGAACTGCCCATGAATTTTCCAGGTATAGTTTATTGTAATCACTTCTCAGTGTAAAACTAAATTGCTATTGCTATACACATTCTAAATATTTTATTTAGTGTATGAGTATATTGCCTGTATGTGTGTAAGTGCATCTGTGTCTTGCAATGTTCATGCTCAGAAGAGGGTGGATCCTCTGGAACTGGAGTTACAGACAGTTGTTAGCTGCCATGTGAATGTTGGGAACCAAACCTGGGTCTTCTGCAAGAGCAGTTGGTGTTCTTAACCGCTGAGCCATCTCTCCAGCCCCCAATATACATTCTAAACAACTGAAAACAAAGAAAAATGGTAGTCTTTAGCTGTCTTTTTTTATGACAGTGTCATGCTATGTAGTACAGGCTTACCTTGAACTTGAGATTGTCTTGCCTGTGCATCTGAATGTCAGAATTGGGAGTAGGCACTGAGGTGATGGGTTCCTAGGAGATGGCTTGTGAAGAGTGTATGGGTCCAGGAAGATCAGAATTCTTACAGTTCAGTCAAGTTAAGGACTACTAAAAGGCAGCTATTCTCAAAATTTTCCAATAAACACATTTTATTTAGGAATTAATCACTTCAATTAAATAGCTGGGTATTAAATATTTAGTGAGTATTTAAAGTTAGATTTTAAACTGATACGTAGAAACAATAATATTAATGAAGTAATGTAATATTTTGATATATGAATACATTATATAATGTTAAAATCAAGTTAAACATATCTACTAAAATATTTAGTTTTTCCTTATGGTAAAGAAATTAAAAAAACCTGTCTCCTAGCTTTTTTAAATATGCGACACACACCTGTTTTCTACAGAGACCCTACTGTGCAACAGCACATCACAACTTCCTATTCTTGTTGCTTGGGTTTTGCTTGTATGCATCAGTAGATGTTCTGGTGAGAGTTCATGCATCAGTTAGCTGAGCATGGTGTATGTATCTGTGATGCTAGCATTTTGAGCTGGGAGAAAAATGATGTCAAGGCCAACCTGGACTACATAACAAGGGACTGTCCATGTATCTCCCTCCAAAAAATGATGCAAATAAAGAAATCAAAGCCATATATTTTCAGAACATGTATAGAACTAATTAACATCACTTAAACCTATCTGCTTTTTTTTATTATTTTTTTCTCTAGCTTCTTGACTCACTTCAAATCTTGCCTGTGTGATCTGGTTGCTTTTCTTTATCCAGAAAATCTTTTACTGAGCTTTCCAACATTTGCGCAAACATCATACTCTCTAGGAATTGGTTTACCTACATTTTATCTTAATATAAATATTTCTTTTTTATGTTCTGACAGTGTGGTGGGAACCACAACACACATTGCACTGTATAGTCACTAGTGATTTCCTTGTTTTATTCTCTAGACTAGGGTTTGATAAACTTTCTGTAAATGCCTTCATAGTAAAAATTTTAGGCTTTGTAGCCAAATGCTTTGTCAGAACCACTCTTCTTGGATGTTGTAACATGAAAGTTACTGTAGATAACAAACTAAAAAACCAATGGTTGTGATTGTGGCTTGATAAAACTTTATTTACAAAAGGAACTGGATAGCAGGATTTGGCCCATCAATTGATTTGCTGATCTCTGCTGTAGACTAAAATTCCACAGATTCTTGGACATATGGGATTTCATTTTTTCCAGCACTAAATACATAGAGAATAAGCTCAATAACTGTTGAATGAACCTATGAGTAGTGAGAGAAAAGCACAGAAGCATTATAATATAATGTATTTCACAGTATGACTGAAGTTTACCCGCTCTTCATGGGAAGGTTCTGATATCAGTCTGCAGGGCTCATACTTCAGATCATAATTTTGTAGTCATACTTTCAACTCTGCCATTTCTTAGTTGTGTAACCTTGACAAGTGACTAACTCTTCCCTCATGTAAAATGAAATAATATTACTATTATCTCCTAGTGTTATTGTGTGGGATAATATTGAAACACATTTAACTTGTATCAGAACTGGCATATAGCAAAGTCTAACACTAGTGACCTTTTATTGCTGTTATTAAAATTCTTATTGATCACTGGGAGGAGTCAGGAAAAGCTTTTCAGAGAATGTTATAGTTGAGCTGGAGTTGGGAGCATAAAAATAGTTATACAAAGGAGAAGATTCTTCCAGTGCTCTAATAGCCTCTTCCTATCAACTGAAGTCTTGCTCCCTGGTCAGTTCCAACCTTTCCATCCTTCCTGATCTTTTACAACGATTCTCACATATGATTGCGTTAGACTCACTGAAGAAGAATGTTCCGATGCAAGAGACCCCCAATTTATTTAGCTGGGATAAAGTCTGGTCATCAAGGTTTCTTAAAGCTCCCAGGGTAGTACTAGCATGTCACCAAAGTTGAAAGCCATTGCTGTGTAAGAAGTATTTCCTGGGGCTGGAGAGATGGCTCAGCAATTAAGAGCACTGGCTGCTCTAGCTGAGGACCTGGGTTTGGTTCCCAGCACCCACGTGGTTGCTTAAAAAAACTTTATAACTCCAGTTCCAGGGGATCTGATGCCCTCTTCTGACCTTTATGGGCATTGAATGACACAGGTGCACTAACATGCATATAAGCAATGCACTCATGTAAACAAAATAGAAAAATAATAAATAAAATATTGAAAAAAATAAGTATTTCCTATGTAAGCAATAACAACTCCCTTTTAAAAATCACTGTATTTTATGCTTTAACATTCATTTTATTTTATCGGTAATAGAAGCTATTTGTGTGCTTTTCTGCCTAGCACCAGCCAACAGCAGGTGAATCATTTTATTGCTGTAATTCTCAATGTTCAGAACAAGATGCACACAATAAATATTTACTGAGTTAAACTACTCAGAATTGACAGATAACAAAGTGTTTCTTATTGGCACAGTGAAACACTGAGCTTTTGGCTAAAGTCTAATTTGGGTCATTGCTTTTTGGAACTTCCTTTCCGCTGCCAGTTGGCATGATAATTTTGCTTTAATTGAGAAAAAAAAAAAAAAAAAAAAAAAAAAATGCTTAAAAGTGAGTTTTTGTATAAGGATCAGAATTAAAATAGAGGGATAAGGAGATTAGTGATGAATATTTGTTCTAGAAAGGACTCCTAGATCCCATGGGAGTGAGTCCTCCATAGTATCACTAGGAAGAAAGATTAAAAAATAATAAGGACATTTAATCAAAATCTCAACAACAGCAATGCTTATTCTATATTAAAACTTTAAATTTAAATCCCAGTTAGATTTAAAAATCTTAAAGTCTCCAGACTTCAGTGGATGAACTCACACCAAGGGACATCTGGGTACAGATAAACTTGACTTGATAAATATTAATATATATGACAAATGCTTGAAGTCTTGTAGGTGGGCTATGGAGGGGCAGATGGGAAGGGAGACTAAATCTAATAAGATATATTGTATGAAATCTACAAAAAATCAATGAAAACATATTCAAAAAATTTTAAGTTCAGTCAAACAGTGTTATTTTTAATTTAATTTTTAAAAATTACATTAAATTTTTTCAATTTTCATACAATATTACTTGATGGTATTTAGAGCCTCTACCTCATCCACACTTCCCCTTATTGCTCCTGACCTAATTTAATGTACTCTATTTTGTATATATATATATATCATCAGTGGTCAATACTTCCTTAGGTTGGGTTGGGATTTTTTTTCTTTTTAATTTTTAAAAATTTACTTATTTTTATTTTATTTTATGTGTATGAGTGTTATGCCTGCATGTGTGTAACTGCACTTGTTTTGTGCAGTGCCCAAAGAGGTCAGAAAAGGGCATCAGGTTCCCTGGAACTGGAATTATAGATGGTTGTTAGCCAATATGTATATGCTGGGGACTGAACCCAGGTCCTCTGCAAGAGCAGCCAGTGCTCTTAACCACTAAGTCATTTCTCCAGTTCTGTATATTTCGTATAGGTGAGACGTTCAAAGCTATTTGCTCATTTATAGAACTGTTCCAGTCATCTAATTTCCTAGTTGATCTTTTGTTTAGTTTTATTCATTATTGGAACCATATATATTGTATGAAGTATTTAATGTATATATTAAATGAAAGAAGTGAGTTATTTGGGGGAACAAAAGATAAAAAGGGAGGGTTAAGAAAAGGGGTGGTATCAGGGAACAGGGCAAGAAGTAATATGTTCAACATACAATATATATTTTTATGG